ATTATTACAGTATTAGATATATAATAAGTATAGTATTAGAGATGATAAGTAAACCCTTAACCTTTTTGCTAAATATTCTTGAAATAAAACTCTAATTTTATGTATTGTATTCCATTACAGAACGCAGTGCATAAATGTGACGGTACTATTTGTAATACCCTCTTAAGTACCAACAATCCGAATACTAAATAATTTCGTCGTACCTAATACTTTTGTATTCATAACGTAATAGGTACCGAAATAAAACCAGCCAACATTCGCGTGGGTCACTCATGTGGATGTATCACACGACTGGCTTCAGACTCAGATGTGTATGTGCGCGCGTGCATGAGTATTAAGCGGGCACGGTTCCAAGAATATTCTGAATTGCAATGTTTTTGAAAAGGAAAGCGGTAGGTAGTACCTACTTGTGGTTTTCGTTTAGTTTGCTGACTGATCACATTTGAATGTTATACTTTTTGTTTAAACTGTCAAACACCAAGCGGTCACCGGTGACCGCAACCTATTGTTCTATAATTGTGTCTACAAAACCGGTACTCGACGAGTTAAGGGGTGAAAATCATCAAATGACTCCTCCCGCCTGGGTGAGGCGGGAGGGAATGTCAGACTCTTACTGACTAAAAACCACCCCGTTCCTTCTCCTGCACGTCGAGCCGGAGCCCCGGTTACCCGTTAGGTTCTCCGCGACATGAATGTTATACTAAATTACTAAGTACTATTTACAAAGTAGTTAGGTAGGTAGTACCAAAATATTTTTGAACCTTAATTACTTCTCGTCTCTTTCATTCGATTTTATTACCAAATCTTATCGACGCCTCACCCTATAGACTCCGTATTGAGAGCAAACAAAGACTTTGCAAAAACACAGTAGACTTATGGGTCTTCTGTCAATACGCATGCGCAACAACCAATACACCCAACATTATCGACCATGTCTGTGATCCCTGAACTGTTTCTGTCACTCCTGTTTTTATTGATACAAAAAATACATTTTGAATCTCTTTGTACGTCATTCAGGAACGAAATACAAGTAATCGACCTAAGTAAAAAAGCTCCTTACCCAATTAAATAATATTGGAAAAAAAATTAATTGAAATGTAAAGCATTGAATTTACCAAAATATTTCGTTTAAGACCTAAAATAATTTAAAATTACTTAAAGAAATCGTTGACAGATATTTTAGTTGTCATCCGGAAGGCAGTTTGTATTTTTTTTTTTTTGGAAACCGGGGCGATGTTGTTTCTATCTCGTTCTTTTCCATTCAAAAATACACTTTGGTACGAGCACCTAGTTTCACTCGCTAGTTTTCAATTTAACGTTTCAAAAGTGCATAATCACGGATTAATTCAATTAAAATGCTTTGACTTTGATTTCGACATCTCTTTCTTCCCTGCATAAATTATTTTTGTTTTACTTTTCTTTCATGACATGCAAAATTGCGTTACCTAGCAACGCGGCACTAGTGATTTGCCGTTGATGATTATCTTTATAATTACAAAGTCTCGATCAACATGAAATAAAATCAAGATTTTAAATATTATTATTAATAGTTATTTTAGTTTTTATTTACAAATATTTCTCTTTGTTTTATTTTAACCCTTAATAGTAATAAACACAATAAATTTATTGAATGTGCTGCTACAACATTTTTTTGTTTCGTCTATATGTTGGTCAATCGATTATGTTTACATCATTAGATTTCCCATCACTGCCCATTGGGCCCTTATCCCGCACAAATCAATGTTTTGTCTTTTTTTTTCTTCGTTGAAATTAGGCAATGATGCGTATATAGAGTATGTCGATGGTTAAACCTATACAAGAAGTCTTTGCCTATTTTATTTGTTACATTTACACATGTTACCTGTAAGAACTTGAGCCTTTCCAACAAATCATCAAAGTAAGAGGCGAATGGTTTAAGCGAAGGATAGCTTTTGCCTGCCCACAGCTCGGGAATACGGCCGCGCACCATACTCGTCAACACTTCTTCTGTTATATCGTTTAAAACGCTCACACCTGTGTCAAAATAACATCAAATATAAACAAGATCCGCCATACAATAAGTCTCCATGATAAGAAATAATTAGCCATATATTTTTTTTTATTTAGAATTAGTACAAAAACCACATGTATAAAACCACATGTGGACTTAATGCCTTGGGCATTGTCTAAGAGTCGATCATTAGGTGATGCAGAGATGAAAGTGGCAGGTGGCTAAGTAAATATTAATAACTATACTTACATAATTATATATAAAAATTTCACTTTCTTTAAAGTTTTATCAACTAACGACTTACCCTGCACAGCACCTATCACTGCCCTAGAACTGGACCTTACGACTTTGACCAATCGCTCATATCGGGCCGCCTCTTGGATGACCACGATAGACATGGGCGTCATGTCAGATGGCTTGATGTCCCCCTCATGCGACGGCCCCGACAGGATCTTGTCGGGCAAGCGAGCTAAAACATCTTCAGCGATGGCCATTGCCTGCATTTCAGGCGTGATTTCTGTATCTCCGGCTGCCGCGGTATCCTGATATATATTTGATAATAATTAGTAATGATCTATAGTCCTACCTAGTTTATGAAAGTTTATGAAGAATATAGAAACTCAATGTGCAGTGATTCAATAGTTTCGTGTAAAAGAGAAAGAAATACTAAAAAAAGTAACTTACTTGATATATTTTCTCCAAATCCTTTTAAGCATAAAAATCAAAATTTTGTTACTAAAGCAAATGGTGAAAAAGACTAAATAAATGAAACTAATATAAATGTCTTACCGTGCGGTCCTGTCAAGTTGCGCCGGTGAATGATGAAACATAAAAAATACAACATGATATTCATAATGAAAATACAATAATTAAAAATACGTTTAAAGTACAACAATCATTACATCTTCCTATTAATTGTTACAAGATAGTACATAAAATTACTAAGATTTACTTTAGGATCTTTAATACATTACCATACTAACCAAAAATAGTTGATGAAATGTAATATAAAAACTTAGACTGCATTATAGCAATAAAAATTTTATAATATTATAGAACCTGTGTGAGTATAGCTGTCTCGAGGAGCTCCTCAGCTTCTCGGAAGTGCTTGGTGATGTCTGCGTTGGTGTGGAAGCCGAAAACAGCTGGTGGAGTCGCGGCCGGCAAGGAACGCGCGAAGTTCACAAATTCATTGTGCTCCTTCAGAGTAGGTATGTGATATACCCCTGTCAATTACCCATAGAATCCTTTACCAACTTAGGACATACAGAATAAATAGGCATTTCTACGAAACTGTATTAATGCTAAAATACCTAACAAACGGCACTGTAGGCATGCAGTGGTTCAATGTCTATCGCCTATCGCGCGCCGTGAAAAGTAAAGATCTTTATACATAAGATAAAATGTTGTAATAGTGACTAATGCCGGAATACTGAAACGTTACTCAATTTTAAGTCGTGCTTAAATATCATGCCATCTCTGTCATTTTACAAAGAATATGTAGAGACAGAACTATACTTAAGCACGACTTAAAATTGAGTAGCGTTTGAGTATTCCGACTATAGTGACACATAAAATATAAGCATGACTTATAAACACCTATTGATCTATATTATAAAATTAAATATAATATTAAGTCGAAACATAATAATTTACCTGTTGGGTCCAATGCATAATTATGTTCTTCGATAGCTTTAGGATTGTAAAACTTAAATAAGATCGTGTTAAGTGTGCGTCGATCCCAATCATCGGTCACACGACCACCGTAGTTGCACTCGCCAGTTAAATAACGTAACGCTATGAATTGCACGTCCTGAATAAAAATATGCGATTTAATTCATTTTATTTTATACGTACGGTCGTGACCATTGACCATGCCAAAGCAAGTAACTTCTAATAATACTTTAAAAATTGCTATCGCCTCTTGAAAAACTGCTTTTAGCTCTTAAACTGCACTTAACTTCAGTTTCATAATTAAAACAGCTAACACAACCACGAACAATTATTATGTAATTTATACTACATAATATAACATCACGCCTTTTATCCCCAAAGGGGTAGAAAGAGGTGCACATTATGCCACTGTACAATGTAACACCCACTTTTCAATATTTATGTTATGAGTCCCATGTAATAGGGGGTGATATAATTGGTGAGATAATTTATACTTTTAGTAATAATTATAGATGTGGTAGTAATTGTAGTGTGTAACTAGGTACCTTCTTTACTTTATAAAAATTGTATGACGTATTATATCTAATAAAAAATTGTATGACAAGGGCACGGACCAAGAGTCCGTGGAGAATTAATCTGTAACATTATAAAAAAGAAAACTACGAATAACAAAGCTTTCAAGAAAAGAAAACCGCACTCAAATCAGTTCATTCATTCAGGAGCTATGATGCTATAGATACATTAAAATTACAACATTTCGCATTTTTGCGCCGAGTGTAAAAATAATATTATTTGGGACTTACATCATACTCATTGAGGAACATATAAAGTTGTGTCACGCTAATTCTGAGGTCAGTCTCGTTGAATTCGTAGCTAATGTTCCACCCCAGAGGACCGAATTGTCGTCGTTCTTGCACCACCGCGTGGAAGAAGCACAGTGCGAATAACAACTTTTTGAAGATCTCCGTCTGCTTGTTACCCTCAAACCATTCGATGTCATTGATAGGGTCGCTACTGTACGAACGTGCGATATTTGCTCTCAAACCTGTTTTTGATGGGAAAAAATAAAATCCTCAAATTCTATCAACATTTTTTGTTTAATTTAAGGAAAAAAGATTACCTTTGGGCGGTTCATTGGTCATTTTGACACCATTTTGTAACACATACACAGGAAAGTGTGCGGCAGGGTATGATGTCAGCCAAAGCCTGAAGTCTGGATGTGTACTATCAGGAGTCAACCCTTCGCAGGTCTGGACAAATTCATTTTTATAATCATAAGCAGTTGACACTTAGAAGCAGAAGTGTTTTATCATGTCGTTTTTACCTTTTCTAGTGTTGGCATCCAACTTTTAGCTAAGTGACAGTTTTGCAATACCACCCATGTGCCACTACGAACGCCTTCTTCAATGAGCTTAACGGCGATAGGCCCCTGACCTTGACCCAAAGACAGCGAGAACAATCGCGAAGATCCAAAACCCTAAAAACGTTTGTAACATTGAAGTGAGAAATAATAATTATTATTACAATGACATGCCATATATTTATAGTATTCAAAGAAAATAATCACTTGGTCATCAGCAAACTTGAGCAGTGTCTCCATAGGATCGGAGCCCGGTGTTAGAACAAACAACAAAGGTATGCAGCAGTGAGAGTCCGCGTATGAAGACGCCAAGTCGAACAGAGGCGGCTCCACGAATTTACGACCCATTTTAGCTACAAACAATAACGATAATTAACGGTTTTAAGAGACATAATCGTAATTATTTATTACTTACTTACCTGCAACGTAGTTTTGTACAGCGGGTACCATCATATCCAAACGCATACACCGCAAAACGCACATTTTCTGTAAATGTATAATGGTGTCATGTTGATATTATTGCGAAAAAATTAAAATCATATTTTTTATTCAAAATATTATATGACAAGTAGGCTACATGTCGGAGCGTATTCCTTTTTAAAAGGCCGGTAAAGCACCTGTGACTCCTCTGGTGTTGCGGGTGTCAATGGGCGGCGCTGATCGCTTACCATCAGGTGATCAATTCGTCTTCTCGTTTGCCTCCTATTCCATAAAAAACAATGCCGTATAACAGCGCCCATATCGATTCATCATACCTCAAAAATATCAAGATTCTGGTCCCAAGGTGACGGTAACGGTTGATCTTGTGGATCAGGCGTGTCACAATAATCCTCCCATATTTTGACGTTGTTTATAAAGTGGTCCAAAATACCATGAAACTTAGGAACTTCATTCAGTCTACGGATTTCAAAAAGAAAATCTTCAAGTTTCATAAACAATGTAAATAATAACATATTATTATTACCAACCTATGAATTGTAGTAGGTAATTTGTAGTATCTAATATAAACTGGACTTTATTATTTTATTTATGACTTTTCTATAATTCATTTATACTTGAAAAAGAAGAAGTTTAGCTTACGCGTTAAACTCAGCCCAAGCTTGTGGGCTGAGAAAATGTACTGGATTTGGTTGAATTTTTTTGGGATGTGCGCCCGACAAGAGGAACATCACGTCACTCCTTTTCACATCTTTCTCTGCCAACATAATCGTGATAGTCAACAGCAACGAAAACACGATTTTATCCTGTAATAATAGAAAAATACGATTATAACCAGTAAAATAATTTCTGAACCTCTGAAACTACTAGGCAATATACCTTTTCAATTATAAATTTACCTTTTCAAATAGACTCCTGCATATATTTGCATAGAGAGAGTATGTGAAGTAACGCCTCAGAATCATCAGGCGTTCGGGAATCTCATCGACTTTCTCAGTATTATCTATCGCCGCCACGAACAAGCCTTCGAACCAGCCCAGTGAGTACTGATACATCGGGTCAATGTGCGCTAACGAAGCTAGAACAAACACGTATACACATAAAAATTAAGATAAAAAATTATCATGAATTTTGACCTGTAGGCGTTAAAGCCTCTAAGCGGACCTTTATTTAAATGTTATAGCAAACATATGTTTAATCGCAATTCAAAAAAATGTATTTCTTGTATGAGTAATATTGCAGTTACCAATAAGGAAAAACAGGTTCGTAGAGTGTTCGGCAATGGGCACGTAGTCGTTACGAGCAACATCAATAGCTGCCTCTGTGATCATGGCCACCTCTTGTTTCTCTTTGATCTCATTCGATGTCTCTTTGGCGGAATTTAAAATCTAGACACGAACAACAATCGGTTATTTAAGAAAACGTATGAAATCTTTACATTAGAACAGTCGTGCAATGTGTATAAAACCAATATTTAGAAGCAGCATTTACGCAATTAGGTACTAATTGCGTAAATAATGTAGAACCATTCACTATTCAGTTACCTGGACAGCCTCTTCATCTTCTAGTAAATGTTCGGAAGTAGAAAGGACTGTCAATATTTTCTTCTCAATTTCCTGTAGAAGCCTTCTATGTTCGGCACCCTGCGTGGTCAGATCTGTCTTGGCTTGTTGCAGGTCAGGTCTCTCTCTGGCCACCACTCGAGCTAACAGTTGTGCTTGCAGGCCATCCATAGCCAACATAAAGTTGACCAAAGTCACTCGTACACCTACCTCCGGTAAGTAATGCGGATTCGCTAATTTTGTACTTATGTATAATCTGCAAAAGCCCATTTGTGATTTCATTTGTCGAGTGGCTCTTTAAGTAATAGCTAAATCATGCTCAATAAAACAAGTCAAATGTAAATTATTGTTTATTGAGTCTATGTATTGTGTACTTACTTAAAGTCTTTGCTGTATTCAACAATAGTATCACCAATTTTAATACACAACGCACCACCTTGTCGGAATGTTTGTTGCTGAAGAAGAGGTTCTAACATAGGGTCTAATTCTTCTAACACGTTCTCTAGCAACACCTGTAAACAAGTTTAATGAGTAAAACAAGTTCACATTGAACAACCTGTAAATGTAAAATAAAATCTGCTGAAGATGTATTTGTTTTTCATACCGGTTGTCCAAATTGAACTGCATTTTCCAAGATGCGTCCCAAGTCAGCTTGTGTCAAACGGGCTATACAGATATTATTTGGTTTCTCCATATTTTTGATCCAACGATTGGCTTGTCCTTGTGGATCAATCATCAAAGGCCAACGTCGTGCTGTCCTGTATCATAAACAAAGGAGGTCATTCCTGCTTTATACATTTTTTGCTATTTCAGAAAGTGCCGACCAACAAAAAAAAATTATACGTATCGTTAAAACTAGTATTTTAAGAGCTACTGAATAGTACTGAACCCTCCAAAGAAATTGCGTCTTTTTATAATATTTTTAAGATGAAGAGGTACAACACGCTAAGGCCAGTAGTCATGAGCTGGAAGTCATCCAATGTTTCCAGGTACCTTTAGAAATTAATGAATGAATAAATGATGAATCCTCGAAGTTGCATAATTTCTACATTTTGAATTCTAAAACTTTTGCGCCATATTAAACCATTGCTCCAAAATGGCTATAGTTCTACCAGTGCGTACCATTTCTTTTTAGCCGGCGCTTTTAAAAAAGGAAAACAATTATCTCTTTTGCGAAGTACCTACCACGTTGAGGACCTACTACTACTACTACCTACTTTTGATAAGATTCTCAAATTAATAGGCAGTTTACAAGGACTGCGTTAGTGCGACTTTAAATCCAAAGGATGTGTCATACATACATGATAATAATGGCACTCTCAACACTGAAGTCATCTGCCGGCAATCCATCAATGTTCCATTGTTGAATGGTGACTGGTTCACCCAGAACCTTGATTAAGCTGTAGTCTAGCTTACAAACAATTCCGCAGGCGGAACATGCTTTGGCCCATGTTTTTATCTAATAGACACAAAGGATTGAAAACAAGTTACAACAAAGAGGTTAGCTGTATGGAGGAGTAATACTTATTAAAAGTAGAAATATACGACGTTTGTCAACCTTTCCCTTAATTTTGATAAAACTTATAATAAAAATATCCAAATAATTACGTAGACAACAACTAATATAGAAAAGCCAACCATTAAAAGATTTTTTATCAAGAAAGCACCTACTTGTTCATTTCGAAACTGTGCTGTAAACGGTCCAAGATACGCGATGATGCCCGCAGCAATCAATATATCTCCTGAAAAACCAAATAACAATATGAGACCTCTTTACTTTAAGAAACAGTTTATGGACATATTGATAAATATTAAATAAATAACTTGTAGTTAGCTTTGATAAATTTATTTGCCTGTGAGTGTATTGTATGTTTCACGGAGATCTTTAGCGATTTGCGTCCATCGTGTTTTTTCTCCGCCCAGACCAGTTATAAGCATTTCAGCTCGTTTCAATTTATTACTGCAATCCATCACCTCATCGTCCAATATTTTTTGTTGACGACTTTGTTCAGCCAAAGCGTCTTCTAGCTTTTTTAATTTTGCTTGTACCTAAAATAGAATGATCTACTGAGAGCTGTTAATTAATAATTTGCCATTAAGGTTATTATTACTATTATCACATAAGACTGTTGTAGATACCCAATAGACTTATTTATAAGCTTTTAGCAATTTCTTTACCTCCTTGAGCTGAGCCTGTTTGACAGCGAGGGCGGCACTAGCCTTGTCGTACACTGCTTGTGCAGCCGCTAACCGTTGCTTTTTAGGCGCCACCACCTTCGCAACTTTGTCGTACTTCGTCATGGCAATTACCCACTTGCACATACCTGTTTTTGTTAGTTTTGTGTAAAATGATTAATTGTAACGATTATAACAGATGTTTGAATGACAACCAGATCCGATAACATAATGTGCTCTTCAAGGTATGCCTGCCATTAGTGCGACTCTATAACTTACGAATTCGATATCATAGCTCGCGTAAGCGAAAGAGTTCCGTAAACAATAAAACTATTGAAGCGAAGTGAGATTCGAAACTACACCCTTTGTGGTGTATTACGGAATCGCATAGCTGGTAACAAATGATAAAATTTCTTGACCCTAGTCTATTTATTAATATTACAAGTATATTAATTATTTAAATTAAAAATTCATTTGTAACTTCTGCTCGGACGCGTGAATTGAATCCGCGACACAGCATAGCAGTCGAGTCATCAACCGCTACAACCAGTCACCCAGTTAAAAAAATATCTCTTTTCGATCGCTTGCTTCATTTCTGAAGGTCGTGCCCCTGAAAGGCTTTCATTGCTCTCTGTATTATTTCCCTCCATCTTGTCCTGTTTTCGGCTTCATATAATACAGTGAAAATATCTTTAGTTATAATATTTGCTATTATACAGTCTAACAGAATACACTTTATTGTAAAATCAAAATTGTAAGCTCAATTTGTGTTTGGAACGTTTCCAAAATAGTTTGAAATGAAATGAAATGATATTTATTTCTGCAGAAATAGTTTACAAAGTAATACTTTTACATGTCTTTAAATTACTATATGAGGGCCGGCTCATCTGAACTTTAACCTGGCTTCATTAAATAAGTATCATCACTTACCTTCAGCGGCTACTGACACAGTTTTAATCTTTTCAGGCACGAAGCCCTCATCCTGCATGACGGTGGTCATCAATTTCTTCATCACGGGTGGAGGTATATTATCTTTATCATAGTTCTGTAGGGACTCTAAGAATTTGATGTCGTTTAGGAGTTTCTTCGACGGACCCCAGTAGTCCTCGACAGTCCCCACACCCGATGGGTTTGGAATCTTATCCGGTTTAACATCCTGTTTTAAATTATCAAGTATAAGTTTATGTTAGCTTTCATAAAATTATATTTAACATTAAATATTGCAGGTATATTTAAACATAAAACACTTTGGTATATTTTTAAGCTATTAAATGAAACCTAACTACAAATAGTGACAATTCAGAGCATTGTGCAAAAGAAAAGGTCAATAACAAAACGGCCATAACTGAGTGTGAAAGCCACTTACCGGGTCATCCTTTAGGAGAGCGGTAAAACATAAAATAATGGAATCACATGTTAAGTCAATTTTACATGTTCATGATTCAGCAATTTTTACGTAACAAGACGTATTTAATCTCAATCTTATTGAGATCATGTTTACGTTCATACCATTCATAACCAGCAACATAATGAACAAACATTATTATTAGCAAATTGCACTATTACATGCATAGACCTTGTATCGTAGCTTAAATAATTTAACATTCCATACCGGCTCTGTACAAGTAATTTTTTTCTTTATTACAGCCTCTGAAACAATTTTCATTTCGAGGGACAAAGGATAAAGATTTCTTTACCTTTAGTATACAGATAGCTTCCATCACAATTCGGATACCACGCGGAGGACTCTTCATCGTCTTGATAAAGGTGATATCCTGAGGAGTGAGTGTGTCAAGTGCTGCAAGAGCTGCGTTGAGGATCGGCATCGCCTCAGCGAGATCAGCATCGCACTCGTCTTTTATAGCTTGGGCTTCTTGCGCCTATTGACGCCAAAGTTATATTATAATGAAAAAGATTTAATGAAAACGTAAAAACTACTCATCAAACTAAGATAAGGAGGATACTGGCCTGTTCTTCTGCAGCTTTTTGATCTACTAATACTTCAGCCTCAACCAATGCCACTGCTTCTTTTTCTTTCTCCACTATAGCTGTAGTCTCAGCTACAGCTTTTGCGCCAGCAGCCAGTTTGGGCTGCAATACTTCCAACGCCTGTTGTAATGCCCCCACTGACTTAGCTGCAATAGCGAGCTGGTCCAGTCCAGTTAAGTAACGCTTCTCTGCTGTTGTTAGCTCTCTAATTTGCGATTTTTAGAATGAGAACCGTATTTTAGTACAATAAATAAAATAAATAGTTAAACGAATAATACTAATAGAAGACAGATACTTACAGTCGTTTTTTCGTGAGCAACGACTTAAACATGTTAATCAGCTCCAAGTAGGCGGTAGGTGTGACATAGTTAAATCTCTTGAGACGACTCAAGAATTGCCTCGTGAGCTCCTGAGTGTCAGTGTGGAACACTTGACATAGCTTAATTGCTGTGTCTCGTTCTAGGTCGGTCAGCTCTATGTCTTTCAAAAATCTAGTTGCTACTGCCAACAAAGCATCAGGTGGCCATTCCTGATTACGTGAAAAACATAAAATAAACACTGTATTAGTTTGACACAGTAGTGTCGGAATACTGAAACGTTACTCAATTTTAAGTCGCGCTTAAGTATAGTTCTGTCTCTACAAATTCTTTATGACATGACAGAGATGGCACGATATTTGAGCACGACTTAAAATTGAGTAACGTTTCAGTATTCGGGCATAGGAGTCACAAATGTTAATAAGTTAATAAGTCGAGTATCGGACTCACTTGAAACCAGTCGATAGTGCAGCAATTAACGAGTGATGGAAACTTCCTAATGCGAGTGCGCAGTGAGGTACCAGCAGGCGACATAGCCAACACAATGTGCAGTTGATCTCGTACTATAGACACAAAGTAAGCATACAGAGCCGTTGGACTACCGTCTGTCTGAAGTGATTTATCACGCTGCCGATCGATCTGCGCAAAAATAAAGTAACATTTTAGCCTAAGATCATAAAACAAAGTAAATTACCATCAAAAGTTCATTAACAGTACTCACAACTCTCATTTTCTCACACAATTCTGCTTTCTCATCAGTAGTAAAGATATTTGGGACTTCTCCAGAGTTAAGCATATTGTTGACGTCTTCAAGGAATCCCTCTTCTTTGATCTAAAATTTAAAAATGTCACGACGGAATACGGATCACGATAAAGTATGACTTACTTTACAACCAATCCCAAATAGGTGTTTTTTATGATTTACCTGCGACTCAATGAATAAGAAAACCATGAGCAAATCTGGTGTGCTCGTTTTACGCAGTAAAGTTTTCAAGTCTTCTCGCCACTCGGTCTTACCGTAGGTACGGCTCATCTCGACCTGCAAAATTACATTTCATTTAAAATGATAGTATCTAAAAGAGAGAGAGAGTGAGAGAGAGAAAGCCAGAGAAAGAACCAGAACCTAACAATTCTTATATTGTGTCATATGTAACAAGTTTAAATGATCATTGTAATAGTTGTGTCTGTGACGGACCTGGAAGAGATCATACTCGTTGATATGGGCCGCTAGTCGCGTGAGGGACTGTCGCCCCGAGCCGCCCAGCCCCACCAGCAGCGCGTGCGACCGCGGCTGAGTCAACACTCTGCAGATACGAGACACGTGCTCGATCGCAAATCTGTACACAAACATTAATAATAACACCCTCGTATTCAACTGCTGCTAAAAACTTACATTAAAATCTTCCCTCCTTTCATAGATCTCCTTTTCTTGTATAGAAATTCGTAAATGCTTAGATAGTGGCTAATTGTTAAACGAAGCTAGTTCTTACGTGAAGAGTACAAGGTTCATTGGCTTCTTAGTCATATTGTTGAACTCAACAAGAAAAGCATCAACCGTCGAGTTCAAATGTTCCAAATTCGTAGTCTCCATATAAAAGCGTGTGTCCACTTTCGGATTCGCGAAATCGCAGAATATTAGTTTTCGTAGATGTAAATCTGTAATTTTCTGTTGAAAACATTGATTTATTGATTTATTTCACCTGTACAGTTAACAATTTTGTGTCATATTTTACAACAGTAAAATGACTTACTTCACCCGGTGACTCAGCAAGTCTGCTCAGCATTTTATCGAAGTCGTCATTCAAGTGAGCAGAAGTGGCAGAGCGGAGACAGTTTACGAACCAATGGCGGTCTGATTCCTCGACCAATCGGTCACTGAATACGCGCAGACACTCATGCACCCACAGACGCTTTATCGACTGCAAGTCTGGCGTTACCTCGGGCACCGAAAGCAACACACCCTGATAGGACAAGTAAACATTTTAAAGAATTGTATTTTTGTATACATGTTAAATTATATATTTTTTTATGTTTAATTATAAATGGGCCGCCTCGACCGGAGTGATACCACGGCCTAACAGAAAATCGACATGAAGCAACGCTTGCGTTGTATCGTCGCGTGAGTGAGGTTACTGGGGGCCCAATTATCCCCGTCCCCTTCCCCAATCTCCTCAATCCCTGAATCCCCAACGATCCTCAAACTTGTAATAATCAGGCTGTAACGCCTCTGGTGTTCCAGGTGTCCAGGACTTTTTAATCTTTTATATTTAGTATTCCTCTTTAATATTTTTATTTTATTAAACCTAATACACCGAGTGTGTGCAGGTGGACTATTAAGTTCCAAGGCAATAGCCTTAGGCATTGTCTCCCAGCCTTTAAGCAGAGCAGAGATGAAAGTAGCGGGTGATTAAGTACCCTTTATTTAGGCAATGTACTAGTAATAATATTTATGGACGTTACCAATATCACTCTGGAGAAATCTCGCAGGTTGAAAGTGTAATGAGATTTGGACGGTGTAGGGAGTAGATTCATCTTACATTCCTTGTACACTTCCAACGTTCCATTCACCAGTTCCTCGATACATGGATCAAATTCTTTTGAAAATCCCCTGGAACAAAACATTGACTACAAATAGAGGATTAAGCAACATGAGTAATAAATTGGTGATACAAACCTAGTATCCAGATGCCACAGCATAATCCTGCTGAAAATTGTCTGAAGAGTTTCATCGTCAAACTCGTCAATACAGAAGAAAGCAAAGTGTCGGGAAAATCTTGGAGTTATTATTTTAGCTCCAGGCATCGGCTTGCCCATGGCACACATAAACTGAAAGTTATTAAATGACATTACAACAAACCTTTAGAACTATTTGAAGCTACTGTTAAAACTGGATCTTATATTTTATCACCTGAACATCAATAAGGTGCATCGCCATATTAGTCTTCCGATCATACCAGAGTCCCAGATCAATGCCCTGTCGTAGCACTTCGATGGGAGGTTGCGCTCCATATGTTTCTGCTTGAGGCATTGCTACGTCATCTACGAAAACTACAGCGTAACATCCGATAGGCGGACCATATACACCTGATAAGAAATGTTAGGAAGTAGTATTACAGTAGCAAATTGACTCATACATATCAACCATCGGCGTTTTACCTTTTCTCCTCTTATCCATTTTACCCATGATGATATCTTGAGTCTGATTACAATTAGTTTGTGCAGAGAAAGCCATAATTAGAGCCTTATACACTTTAGTATCAACTCTCTTTACTAGGAAATCCTGAAAAAAAAATGCTGACTATTATAAACAAGTGATTTTGAACATTTTTACAAATACAGGATTATGACCTTTGAAAGCAATATTCCGTTACGTATAGCAATAGTACGTTTATAAATCCCTATCGTCAAACTAGTCGCGGAGAACCTAACGGGTAACCGGGGCTCCGACTCGACGTGCAGGAGAAGGAACGGGGTAGTTTTTAGTCAGTAAGAGTCTGACACTCCCTCCCGCCTCACCCAGGCGGGAGCAGTCATTCGATGATTTTCGCCCCTTAAAAAAAAAATCGTCAAACTAAATTCGTCAGATTGCATTTTGAATAGAGCAGTAAATTAACTTAGGCAGTTACTCGAATTAAGATACTCACAATGACGTAAGCGGATTTCCCGGTGCCGGTAGGACCAACCATCATGACTAGCTTGTGATGCGTCACCATGAGCTTGAACAGCGCGAGATATCGCACACTGTCCAGTGTCGTCACCAGGATCTGGTTGGGAGGAGTGTCACGGGTGATAGGGGGTGCAGAGTGCACGTCATCAATCCATGGCTTCCATTTACCTTTACCCTAGAAATGGAAATGCGATTGAATCTGTAAACTTCTAGTATCCAATAAAATATTTTTTTAACACAGGAACTATGACAATCGATCGAAAACTTACCTCTTTAATGAACCTATAATCGTAAACCAAACCTTCCCTTGGAATTATAAATATATATTGTTTGTCTGGTTTAGCAATTTGTTTCGGCATGTTCAGAGCAGTTTTAACCTAAAAAATCCAGTAAATTTATAAATAATGAACTCAAATGAAATGTACTACAGATAAAAAAATATGTATACCTTGTCAGGAAAATCCTTTTCGAGCAGACCTCTGAAGAGTAAGTCAAATTTAGATCGACCAGCACTTTCTAATGTTGCTCCAATAGACCATATACATGAGAAGAAAAAGACACCCTGAAATTTTAAACTTATTGTTGATGGAAAAGCACTATCTTTATCCAAATATTACAAGATGAAAGGAAATTTGTCTTTTACCTCCAGTTGAGCTCGTATATCGAGATCTGATATTTGTTCCAAATATTTTTCATCATAAAAATCGTCCATAAAGCAGTCGAAGAGATACATGCACGATTGAACCAGGTTGGTTCGAGACGTTATATACATTTGCTAAAACAAAATTATGTTTTAAGTCGTAAATTTTCATTTAGTTCAGTTTCATAACCTGTTCCTGTCAAATCTGCTTCACCGTCTGCCAGATGATGGCTGTTCATTAAGTCGAGTCTAATTTATCCCTAACGATGCACATATGCTCTGTATGAAAACCCTTGAAGGGTTTCAGGCTGAAAATCATTACTATCTTTAAGACTCAACATTCTTTACCTTAACTAATCCAGAAAGTTCGACAAGCCAGAGAAGCGGTGACATGAACCGATTGAATAGATTCCGTATAAGATTACGATTGACTATGTGCAGCGTGGGAGGCAGCTTGTTCAGCCAGGATTCCAACAGCGCCTTCCAGCCGAGTCCTTTAGGCTCTAAGTAGATCATACCACATCGCGATACCTGGTTCAATATTACGAATTTAGCATTAGCAAAATAAAAATCTCAAATACAAGGAAGATTAAATTTAACTGTGGGAGAGCCATGCTTCAGCACGAATGGGCCGACTAGACTGAAGCGATACACAGAAAACTGTATGAATGAGGTTACCGGAGGCCCAATTAGCCAAAATCTCCCCAATCTCCGAATCCCCAACAATCCTTAAATTCATAATCCCATAAAAAGGGCTATGTTCGCGTGATTTTATTTTAATCAAAAAACAGTAACATAAAAACATTGATTATTTTGTCATACATTTTCAAATGATTATTAAATCCAAATTAACCCCAAAAACTTTTATATTCTTATTTATAAATAAACTTTCCAATAATTATACACTTGAGAGATGCGTGAGCAAAAATTCATCACTTAATGAGGCTTACCGTAGCTGGCGAGGCGGCTTCTAAATCCATTGGTTCAAAGATGAGATTGGTAGTGGGTGCCAGCTGTATGATCTCACCACTCATCAGACATAGCTTCTTGTTATCATCAAGCACTGTGTTCAAATTCTCTATCCATATCGCATCCACAGGACCGTCGAATACCAACCACTTTCTATAAGTTTAATTGGATAATGTAATTATTACGATTCATGAAAATTAGTTAAGTTCAATCTGATACATTTTTAATAAATATCGTATTGTAATTTTACAGCCAAGCCTATGCATTCGCCTTGCAATCGTCAATTGATGAAAGCGTGCGCGTGATGTAGACATTGGACCTTATATAATATTTTCAGTTAATTAAAATAAAGTACCATACCTATTGGGATTAGTAGAGACGGCAAAGGCTCGGTAACTGACAGCGAGGATGCCGTCAGACCACTCGTGTGACACGGGATCGAACTGCCCGTACAGCTGGCCCATTGTGATCGACTTCGGATTTATTACCGTCCACTCCACTGCTTGTTCATCCATTAAACCCTACAAATTCAACAATTACTCGTGAGCTGAAGTTTAAAAAACTCGATTTATAGACTGACACGATAGCTTTGTGTTGTTTATCATTAAGTTTATAAACTCGTTTAAATCCACTGAAATAAATTGTGGTAATGATAATATGACAAATAAAATGTTGTTATACCCATGTACATAATTATGTACAGTTGTTTCATAATATGTTCGACTGCCAATACAATTATGAAATATGAAAGAGTAGGTACACAAAGGCCTTCATAAAGTTTTACAAAATCACCTACCTTCTCTGAAACGCATTTTAGAGCATGCCCCAGTGCGTGATAGGATTTAGTCTTCCCGGCAAACGGAAATCCGACCAACATCAGTCCATGTCGCACAAGAATCATCTCGTATAATTGCAGTACCTATAAAAGTAATAAAAATTTACGCTATTTGTAAAATAACCAGCACTTTACTAAGTTTTCAAACTATTCTTTAGTTACCTTTTCAATGAAGAAGTCGTTACATTGTAAGTTAAGTGTCACACAGACCTCCTTAAGACATGAGACTAAATGAGGCAAACCGGCTAATGGAAGCGGCATGCCAGGGAATAAGTCACTGATGATACCCTACAAAACATAATATACAATTTTTATCTCTAATCGTTTTATAACTATACAAAGCAGAATATCAAAAGAGTAATCAAACATTGCCCATCGGTTTCAACCTATATTGACAAACCATTATGCGAGTAACCAATCTGCTAAAACCTTATCAAACAATGTATGTACAACGAATACCTAGTGCTACACATATAGTAATCAAAAACTCCAGCAAGCTTAGTTGGGGTGAGGTTGGTTAGGCCGGACACCGCCCCGAGCGTCAAAAGCCGAGGGGTCTAGACATTGATTTTTGAAAACACAAAATTGAACATTCATTTGCAGGCACGCTGGCTGCAAAAACAACACTCGCCGCGGGCGTCAATTTTCGTAAAAGCGGCGCTGGATTGTATATAGGTACAAACTCGTTACAATAGCATCAAACGCGCGCGTGTGTGCGACTGACAGACGCTTTTAGTACCCAACACATTTAACGAATCAATGCGATACAGTTTTATGTATAATAATTAATATTGCATCAATTTTTGTTTCCACTTTGTTGTCTCATTTGTATTGTTGTTCTATAGAGCTTGACGAACGTAAATCTGTCAGAAATCATTTAATAATTCATAAAATACTGAAATTCATCAAAAAAGCATACTCATTTCACAAAGATTGTTACTTAATTTAAAATTGCCACTTGACGACAAGAGAGTCGTGTGAAAGGAATTTTCATACAAATATGGCTCTTGAAGAAAACATAAACTGAGAAATCAGACAAAGAAGTGGCTTATTGTTGAAGAACAAATTGCCATGTAGCCGAAATCAACAAAAAAAAAAAAATTAGTTATGTGGAATTAAAGTACTTCAATGTAGGTACTTGCAAATGGTAGTACAAAGGTTCAAAATTACCATGAACAATGGTACGTCGTGTTCCAAGAATTTTGGCAGGTTCACATCTTTGATAGAGCGCAGTAGGATTAAGTCTTCAATTTCATCAGGGTAGCGCAGTTTTAGTGCGCCTGCAGCACGCAACACTGACTTCACAGCGCGCATACCTGACATAAAGAATTATTGAATATTACTAAACATTTTAGGTATCTAAGAAAACAACTTAATTTATAAAAAAAATACTTTTCACATTATAAAAATTTACATAAAAAAATACATAGGTATTTATTACCATAATCATAATGGAACTGTGAAGAGAGTTGTTCCGAGCACAACTTGTAAGTGGCCACGATCTTAACGGCGAGCGGCTTGGCGTTGAGGTAACCGAACGCGTACAACTCGATCTCAGAGATCAGCACGTAATCTGGCACCATCATGGCCACGGAACGGAATAATGCCTGCATCGAAGAAACAATATACGTTTATAAACAATGGTTTGTGAAAAAGAAAACGTAAAATTGCACTAAGTTAATATTTATACTTTTAGATTATCAGGAAGTTCAGATCGCCCAGCGTAACCAGGATTCATAGTGATGAATGTAGCGCAAGACTTGTCCAGCTGCAACAATGTTCCTTCGAACAAAAGTTCTGAAGCTCCAGAGTTGATACCACGCTGAATGGAGAGGATCTGCTGAGCCACTACTGAAAGCACTTCTAGATCGATACGGTTGAACTCGTCGAAGCACGACCATGCGCCACAAGACGCCAAACCCTAAGGCAAGAGGAAATAAAGATATATTAGTAAATAAAAATCAGATATTGGGCTTCCTTAGATCACCTTATCCTTAGGTATCGTATTAGGGGTGCGGTGCCAGAAGACCTCCCCGTGGTGCACCCTGGGTGCGGGCGACAGTCTCCCTAGCGGGGGTGATAGGGTTGGAGTGACTGTCGCCCGCAGCAGACTTCTGGACTGGGCGGGCGAACCCGATAGGGTTCTGGAGGCGGCGGGCTGTGTGCTCATGGCCCGCGCTTCCGTGGGGCGTTTCTCCGCCTGTCTCTCTGATTAGCAGAGAGCGTGGCGGAGAGGCAAGGGCGGTGCTCGTTGTGCACTCACCCTGCCAGCGAGCAGCATCGGGACACAAGCTGTCCCCGATTGCAGCCGTCGATATCGTAATCCGTAAGGAGGTCACGGTCATGTTTTGTGACTCTGAACGGGACGAGGGTCTTGGCTTGGTCGCCCGGACCGCGAGGAAGATAACCTCTATAAAAAATTCCTCCAATACTAAGTTCTGGTGCGCGGCGAGAGTATGCATGGCTGAGGAGTAGTGTCAGTCGCGAGCGCACCCCCAGCTAGGGGACCAGTGGAACCTCTAGTTGGGAAACAAATTAACACTTACCCAGGTACAGGGGGCACTGCCTGGGTGGACCGAATATTTCCCCCATACTCGTGGGAACTGTATGGAGAATTTAAAATTGAAAACAAAACCACAAGACGAGAAGGAGGGTGCAGGTGGGCTTGGCTCGCCTGCAGTAGTAGGAGAAGGGAGCCCAAGTGGTGAGGCGCTGGACTCGTCCAGCAGGCCCCACACACGGGAGTCTAGTCGGAGGGGGTCGGACTCAGAGTCCGACACATCTCTGGCGGAACGGCTGAGCGTGAGCTCGAAGGGCTCACGCCGCCGCGCGACGGGGTCGTTTAAACGCCCCAGGTTGGAGGAGGACAATTTGTCCCCGTCCTCTGGCGCGCAGGAGGCGCCTCCCCCTAAGGTCCCCACGGCGGCGCGGGGTAGGGGTGGCAAGGGCGGCGGTCGGCGGAAACCGGCACCAGCTGCCCGCGTGGAGTCAGCCGAGCAGCTGGCTGCGGAGGGCAGGGCTCTCTCGAGCGCTGCCCGTTCAGAGTCCTCCGCAATAGAGATGTCGGAGAACGAGCTCTCCGAGAGTGAGCGCAGCTCCGAGAGCCTCCGCCTGGCCGTGCAGGAGGAGCTCCGCAAGGTGGCCTCGAAGAAGACGGTGCAGGCCCGAGTCGCCATCTTGAACGCGGCGGAGTCCGCCATCATGGCGGCGGCCTTGGAGCGGTGTGCGCTGCCCACCGCTGACAGGGTACAAAAGGAGCTGGGGGAGATGCGGCGGGAGTTGGCGCGCTTGGCGGCCTCCAACGCGGCTCTGGAGGCCGAGCTGCGATCGGCTAGGGTCGAGCTCGCCGCTGCCCGGGAAAGTCATCCCCAGCCCCAGCCCTCAGCGGATGCCGACGTGGTCGGTCTGCTGCGCAGGGAGATGGCGGCTTTCCAGCGTCGTTTCGACGTGCTGGAGGGCCGACTCCTTCGCCCCCCGCTAGCGTCGAGTCAGATCGCCCCACCTGCGTCCCCGCGCTCGTATGCGGCCGCTGCGGCCAAGCCCTCGACCTCCACTGGTCAGGCTGTCCGCGGTCCCCAACCGCCGGCAAAGGCGCGAGCGCCTCCTCCCGCGAGGCCCTCGGCGCCCCCGCCTGTGCAGACCCCGGCTGCGCCGACGGCGCCTGCGCCCGCGGGACGCAAAAAAAGGAGGAGAACTCCAGCCCGGCAAGCTGGAGTTGCAGCAGCGGCGGCGGAACCCGCCCCACGAGTGGAGGACGGCGGCGGGTGGCAAATCGCCGGCGAGACGAGGAGAGTCGCCAGGGAGGGCCGGAAGCGCCGCAAGAAGGCGCAGCGGCAGCGACGGCAGCAGCAGCGCAGGGAGAAACGCGCTGCTGCCTTGCTCCTCGCCCCTAAGACCGCGGCTGTGGTTATTACCCTGCAGCCCGAGGCGGTCAATAGGGGCGTTACCTACGGCGACGTCCTCGCCAAGCTCAAGGGGGCGGTAACACCTGCGGAGTTCGGGGCCCCGGACGGGTTTGCGGTCAAGGTGACCGCTACCGGAGCCCGTCTACTGGAGGTCCCCGGCGCGACCAGCGGCCCGTCGGCCGACGCCCTGGCTGAGAGGCTTAGGGCGTGCCTCGGGGCAGACGAGGCTCGCGTGTCCAGGCCCACTAAATGTGTGGATGTTCGGATTTTGGGCCTGGACGACTCCGTCACGGAGAGTGAGGTGGTGGCCGCTGTGGCCAGGACGGGAGGGTGCCCTGCTGACCAGGTCAAGGCGGGCACCATCCGTCCGGACAACTCGGGGCTGCGCACGGTGGTGGTGAGCTGCCCCGTCACAGCGGCCAAGAAGCTGAAGGAGGGCAAAAGGCTCTTGGTGGGATGGGTCTCGGCGCAGGTCAAGCTGCTCGAGACCCGGCCTCTGAGGTGCTATCGCTGCCACGTGGGCGAACACGTGAGCGTTAAATGCACCTCGGAGGTGGACCGCAGCGACTGTTGCTTCCGCTGCGGTCGGCCCGGTCACAAGGCTGGCTCGTGTACCGCCCCGCTGCACTGCAATGCATGTGCGGCGGCTGGCAAGCCGGCCAATCACCGGGTCGGGAGTAAGGGCTGCTCCCCTCCTGCCAAAGCCAAGGCCAAAAGTAGGCCCTCCGCCGCCCCCGTCGTTTCCGCCGCCGCCGCCACTGCCGCCGCAGTCGCCGCTGCCGCCACTGAGGAGGTCGGGATGGACTGCCAATAATGGCCCCATTCCGCCTCCTCCAGGCGAACATCAACCACTGCGCCGCTGCTCAGGATCTCCTGCTCCAGAGCATGGCGCAGTGGTCGATCAATGTCGCCGTGGTCTCCGAGCCGTACTTCGTCCCGCCCAGGGATCACTGGGTGGCGGACCTGGACGGCTCGGTGACCATCATATCGTCGGCCGCCGCCGGTACCCCGACTCTTGAGGCTGCTCAAAGAGGTCGGGGTTGTGTCGCAGCACGGTTCGGAGAGCTCGCTGTGGTGGGCGTGTACTTCTCTCCGAACCGAACTCTCGCCGAGTTCCACAACTCCTTGATGGAGTTGGTCACCGTCGTCGTCGGGTTCCGTTCCCTCCCCGTGCTCGTCCTCGGGGACTTCAATGCCAAGAACTTGGCTTGGGGTTCCCGGTTCACCGACGTCCGGGGTAGGATGGTGGAAGACTGGGCCCTTGAGACAGGCCTAGTCGTCCTGAACCGGGGTTCTGTCCCCACGTGCGTGCGGATGCAGGGCGAGTCGGTGGTGGACATTTCGTTCGCCAGCCCTGCTCTGTCACCGCGTATCGTTGACTGGCGTGTCATGGAGGAGGTGGAGACGTACTCCGACCACCGGTATATCCGGTTCGACGTCTCCGCCGAGTCCGCAGACCCGCCGGTCAGACAGGCCCCATGTGGTCCGCGTTGGGCGCTGAAACAGCTGGACCGGGAGCTGCTCCTGGAAGCCGCCATCGTGCAGGCCTGGGTGATACCACCGGTCAGGCCTGCCGACATCGACGATGAGGCTAAGTGGCTCCAGGACGCCATGTCCAGGATTTGTGACGTGGCGATGCCCCGGATCCGATCGAGGCAACAGAAGCGCCAGGTGTACTGGTGGTCGCAAGAGCTGGCGGCTCTGCGCAAGGCGTGCACTACTGCGCGACGCCAGTACACTAGGCACCGCAGGCGCCGTATCCGTCCTCCTAATGCGGAGGCGAGAGAGGCGGAGTTATACGAGGGATACAGGGCGGCGAAGGCCCTCCTCAAGGCGGAGATATTGCGGGCCAAGGAGGAGGCCCGCCGAGAGATGCTGGGGACTCTGGACAGAGATCCGTGGGGACGCCCGTACCGGATGGTGCGCGATAAGCTCCGCGCCTGGGCTCCCCCGCTCACTCAGAGTCTCCGGCCAGAGGTCTTGGAGGAGGTGATAAGCGCCCTGTTCCCCCGACTGTGGAGGGGGTTCACCCCTCCGTATATGACTCCGCCCCCTGCGGTGCCCGACGCGGGCTACAGCGACGACGACGACGACATCGTCCCAGAGGTGACCGAGGCAGAACTGAGAGCGGCGGTGCGCCGGATGGGCGCCAAGAACACCGCCCCAGGACCCGACGGCTTGCATGGCAAAGCATGGGTCCTGGCCTCAGAGGCTCTCGGGCCTCGATTAATCGGTCTCTACAGCGCATGCTTGGAGAGAGGCCAGTTCCCGCTTCTCTGGAAAGCGGGCAAACTGGTCCTCGTGCGGAAGACGGGGCGCCCTGCGGACTCTCCGTCCGCATACCGGCCCATAGTGCTGCTCGACGAGGTGGGGAAAGTCTTCGAAAGAATCATTTCGAACCGCCTCGTCGCGCACCTGACGGACATTGGGCCGGACCTGTCGGACGGCCAGTTCGGCTTCCGCAGAGGGCGCTCCACGGTGGACGCCATCATGCGCGTTAGAGACCGGACGACGGGGACTGCAGTGTCCAGGGGTAAGGTCGTAGTGGCGGTGTCTCTGGACATCGCCAACGCCTTCAACTCCCTGCCCTGGAGCTGCATCTTGGAGGCACTCCGATATCATCGGGTGCCTACCTACCTCCGTCGTGTAATCGAGGCATACCTGACGGACAGGTCCGTCATTTACCCCGGTCACCGGGGCGAGTGGAACCGGCGAGAGATGTCACGCGGTGTTCCACAGGGTTCGGTTCTGGGGCCGCTCCTGTGGAACATCGGTTATGACTGGGTGCTGCGCACCGACCTCCCGAACGGCGTTAGCACAATATGCTACGCCGACGATACGCTGGTGCTAGCGCACGGGAGGTCACACCAGGCGGCGGCCGACTTAATGGCGACAGCGGTTGCGACAGTCGTTGAGAGAATCCGGCAGTTGGGACTCGAGGTGGCGCTCCACAAGTCCGAGGCCATGTGTTTTCATGGCCGCGGGAACGCGCCACCTCCGGGTGGGTCCCAAATAACGGCGGGAGGAGTTACCATCGGCGTCGAGACGACGATGAAGTACCTAGGACTCGTCCTCGACAGTCGGTGGAACTTCATTGAACACTTCCGACGTTTGGCTCCAAAGTTGGAGAGGACGGGGGCTGCGTTTAAACGCATCCTCCCCAACCTCGGGGGGCCAAACGCCTCCTGCCGGAGGTTATACGCCGGGGTCGTGCGGTCCATGGCCCTCTACGGCGCCCCTGTTTGGGCGCCAAACCTGTTGCGGCGTCCCGCTCGGACGCTGCTCATGGCACAGAGGGTCATGGCGATCCGAATGATCCGCGGATACCGCACGATCTCTGGGGAGTCGGCGAACCTCCTTGCCGGATTACCGCCGTGGGATCTGGAGGCGAAGGTGCTCGCGCGCGTGTACAGCATGCGCGCGGAGGCACGTCGCCGGGGCGAAACCCCGCTGCCGCGCCAGATAGGTGCGTGGCGGGATGAGCTCCGGCGCGATCTCATGGCGGAATGGCAGCAACGACTGTCGCAACCGAGGGCTGGGCTCGCTGCCATCGCAGCGGTAAGTCCCCTCTTTGAGGAGTGGCTTGAGAGACGCTACGGCGTCCTCACCTACCGCCTGACGCAGGTCCTCACCGGACATGGAAGTTTCGGGAGGTACCTGTGTCTGATGGGGCGGGAGGAAACGCCCGGGTGTCATCACTGCGAGGACCGCCCTGAGGACACGGTGGAACACACGGTGGGAGAATGCCCTTCGTGGGCTGAGCACCGCCGTGTCCTCAGGGAAGTGATCGGCGATGGCGACCTCTCGCGTCCGGGCCTAGTGCAGGCCATGATGCGGAGCGAGGGGGATTGGGATGCCGTCTCCTCCTTTTGCGAAGCAGTCATGCTAGCTAAGGAGGAGGCGGGACGCGTGAGGCAGCGAAGCGCTGCCTCCTCGCAACCCAGCCATCGCGAAGGACACACCGGGCGTCGGGGATCGCGGGACGATCTCCGGCCACCGTAAGCGCGGGCCTGCGGACGGCGAGCATGGGTGGCTCCCCGTCCGACCAGAAACAGACCCGAGCGTACGGCGCGTCGCGTTCCGCGCGCGCCTCAAAGAGCCATCAGACCACCACAGATGGGGCCCAATAGGGCCGATGCCGATTCGGAGTCGCGGAGAACCTAACGGGTAACCGGGGCTCCGGCTCGACGTGCAGGAGAAGGAACGGGGTGGTTTTTAGTCAGTAAGAGTCTGACACTCCCTCCCGCCTCACCCAGGCGGGGGCAGTCATTCGATGATTTTCCCCCCTTAAAAAAAAAAAAAAAAAAAAAAAAAGGTATCGTATTAAAATGTAACTTTTTTGTATTTGAGGGGCCGACGTTTGACCACTATCTCGCCTGGTGATAAGCGGTGATATAGTTTCTTTAACAAAGATGTAGTTTCTTTAACAAAGATGTAGTGATTGCAATAATTATACTAATATGGGCATCATTACAGTATTACGTACTTTGAAGAACTTCCCGAGAGCGATATAATCTAGACCATCAGAACAGTTGAATACAACACACTGTTTTGCTACAGCTTTAGCCAAATCTTTCACAGTCTCCGTTTTCCCGGTACCGGCAGGCCCTTCGGGAGCTCCACCTGTGAACATGTTAAGAGTACACTAACCTAATCCGTAGTTTAGTTATGAAATACTAAGCAGCAGATTAGTCGGTGCAATAGTTATACCTAAGTTAAGATGCAAAGCGCCAAACAAAGTCCTAAAGCATCGGTCAGTAAGCGGAGTGACGACCAGTCTGCCAGTATTGCCAAGGTACTCATACCCATACATCAGCGTCGAGTTTATCATGCGTGTCAACTCCTGCATTGTTTTATCCTCTTGTTCCTACAAGAAAACAAATAAACAGCTTGCGTAAAACAAATATATAATACCAGTTGCAGTTTCATTTGTGCAGAGCAATATTATTTGTGCCCTTTTTGGACTTGGCTATAGTCATAGACAAGTCCAAAAAGGGGTTATATTAATGCATTTGCATCGTTTATTTAAAAAAAATCTGTAAATAGAAGATTGCATTAAGACTTAATGCTCTCATACATCGGTGTATGTGTAGAACTCATATGACGTATAAAGATGTCGACATATTCAGCTTTATCGTACCTCCCAATAATACCGTATCTGCGAGAGCCAGTTGAAATCATTGTCCTGCTGCACGTCAAGTTCTATGAGCAGCATCAACACGTCTCTTGCATGGACGTCTAGCACGACCAACGCTCCTGGAATGACGACACACAGTGATTAAACTTCTGTATTCAAATAGCAACATTTTTTTAAATAACATATCGATCAGGTAGAAATGTATTATTTTATAGAAAACTAGCTTCTGCCAATGACTTCGTACGCGTAATCCCGTTTTCTCCCGTTCCTAGACCCTTCTCCTAATAATAACAAATAAAACAAAAAAAGAATTAGCGAAATCGGTCTACCCATTCACGCGTGATGCCGTGACCAAGGGAAAAAGGGATTCCTTTATATATATGTGAGAGAAACATTATCATCGCCGACATCGTCATTAGTGATTGCGGGCTTAGTTGGTGTCTTGAGGGTAAAATGCGAGCACAAAACACAATGATCACAATAAACACTATTCTAATTTAGATGGTAACAATAGTTTTATCAGTTTCACAATAACGCAAAAGAAAGTCAATAATTAGGACTGAGCAGCGAGTTCAGGGCACCGATCTTACAGTAAATCACATAAACGATCCAACTAAACCAATAGCTAATTCATGCTCTCCCGCCAAAACTATCTCCCTTGTTATCAGTAAGATGGCGCCTCGCTCGACCCCGCTCGAGGCGCGTGCTCTGCTCTGATTGGTCGTTACGTAGGAAGTCAAATTCAAATTATTAATAATTCTAATAAATCAAATTAAGAATTTTAACAAATGAATTAAATTAATTTAGGCATTTTAAAAAGTCAATATAAAGCAAACAAAAATTAATGAGCGTTATGCAATGCAAGTAACAATCAACTCCCAGCTTCCTCCGACATATAGATATAGATTAGTAAAAGAAAATTTAATGCGATCAAATAAATTACCAAGAGTAATCCTGTTCTGTAAATTGAGCTCGCCGCGGACCAAGTCAACGATTTTAGATATTTGATAGTTACACTTCTCCCAGTAAACCCTCATAGCTGCTATGCTGATATGAATAGCTTCTGTTACTTCTAACGTCCAGAAAGTCATTGCGATACATTGAACCTAGACATAAATTATGTTTTTGCTTTAATAAAAATGTCACTTATTGATAATACAAAGGAAAAACAAATATTTTTGTTGTTAAGTAATTGATTAAAGGCTCAGCAAATGGACTGGGTTAAGTAGCCATTAAATTACTCTGAATACGGCGGTAAATTTTTGACGTTTCAAAAGTGCCTAATTATGGTTTGATTCAAATAAATGCTTTGACTTTGACTTTGAAGTAACACTTACTGTTTGTCCAGGCCAAATTAGCACCCACTGGTCTCGTTGCCGTTGTAAATAATCATCGTATGACAAGGCCACAACATTATGAACTGATACTTTCATTGACTTTTCCAGTTCTAGAAGCCATTTCTCAACCTACAAGAAAGTTATCATTTTGTTATCATATATTCAATTATCATTCATTCGCGCGGGCATTTAATTACTCTCCACATCGTAAGAATTTGCGAATGCGTTTAAGACGGTGACTTCCACATCATATACATAATTATGTACAAAAGTAGGTAGGTAATTCGATTTGATGTGAATAATGATGAAGCTGTGTAGCTACAAGTACTGGTATTGGAGAGCACCAAAGGCACAATTATGTATATACTTTTACCATCTTCCAGACTCTGGTTATTTCCTCTTTTAAATCTGTACGTATATATTTTTCTTTTCGGTTATTGTCTTTTGTAGGTTGTGTGTGTTAGGAAGTCTGTATGTAAAATTAGCCAAATCGGTTCAGCCGTTTCCGAGTTTTAGTGAGACTAACGAAGAGCAATTCATTTTTATATATAGATTCTATTCTATTATTATTTCTATATTTCAAAATATAGAAATAAATGTATTTCAAAATAAAGAAATAATAATAGAGGAAAAGGTATTTCTAAGGTTATTAAATTGTCAAAGTATTTGGAATAATATTGACTCACCTGTCCTCTCGCGGCGACTGTATTTATAGACATCGTGAGAGTCACAATCTCTCCCTCTGAAGATCTCATTTGCGTTACCACCATTTCGTCTGTAAAGGTGAGTCTGGCCATGCCTTCGAAACATTTCTTGAGGTGAGGCTGCACACTGTTTTAATTTACAAGTACATAAATTAATAGTTGTACTAGTATGAGAACTCTAGCTTATACACATTAAAAGCATGATTCTTCATTCCCGTAGGAATTCTAGGGAATCGTATCCTGATGGTCCATGAAGTCTATATAACAAATGCCAGGTTTCGCCGAGTATTAGTTCGGTAGTGCCATAACTATCAGACACTAAACCACTCGGTCGGAGAAAGCTCTCAATATTGATGATACTAGACGTCCTCTCCTAAATGTTTCAAGGATATAAATATTTTTACGAAATAAATGCTAATAAATATTATCTTTCAATTTCCTGCGCAGTGTAGACAGATACACTTTATTATTGTGAATGATATTTCGTAAACCCACCGTGTGGGATCCTTAGTTTCTGACAGAATTTCAAGCAATTCGTCGTTGGACAGGAAGAAGAAACGAGGGAAGTACAAGCGCTTCTTCTCCAGGTACGCGTTCAATCCGCGCTGGACCATCTCCAACAAATTATTGGACTTCTTCAGACGATCCAACATTTTCTCTATCATGATGACATCAAGTACCCTCGGCTCAGTGGAAGCTGCCTTCATAATTTCACGCCACATCTGTGATTTTTTTATGAATCTTAGTTGAGCTTTTCATTTTACTTAATTAATAAGTTACAATAATTAATATTCTGGGAATAAATACCTTATCGACAGCACTAAACCGCCGTCCTTCTTCAGGGATCTGTTGTTGGATGTCAGGTGAAGAAAAGATTGGTTCTAAGTACATCCAAGTAGCTTGAACCTTTAACCACTCATCAAGAATCTCTTGTAATAAAACGAGTTTGCCCTCCCAATCACTGTACAATTTTACGAAATAGGAATTTTAGTTTCACTTGTAACCTATACAAATATTTGAACTTTAATGAGATAAACTTACTGAATGAGGTCTTCAAACGGTTTAATATATGGAGAGTTCTTCATTGTCTGAGTCTTCACAATGTGGTCGTCTAATAACAATTGAATTTCATCCACACTTGATAGGATATAGGTTCCGGTATCCCTGTAAATTACAAATCACTTAAAATGTATGCTAACTTTCAGGAGGAATAGTATACAATTACGAGCCTTTAAAAATCGATAGATTCAATTACAAAACTATTGCGTTACGCACTTGTAAGTAAGAATTTCGAATCTGAGGTCAGCCCATTCTTTCATCATCTTATCTAGAGCTCTCTCGAGGTTATTCTCTTTAGTGGCTGCTTCAGATATGCCCTCGAATTTATCTATATAGTCACCCAGATTGAAATCAATTACTTTCTCCAGAGACAGTTCGTCATCTACAACAATCGGGAATCCAACAATTTCTGAGATCTTTTCCCAATGTCTTGGCTTCATACCAGGGTTACCCAAAGTCTGTATAATTGGCATGTTGTTCTTGAACTCATCCATTTTTCCCCTGAAATAAAGACAATTTTGGACGTCATTAATAACAATATTTGATACA